AGTGGCAGTCCTGATATTCCTCGCGCATTCCCAGGCAAATGTAATTTGTCAGGTTTGAATTTCATAATTCCGAGCTAATTAAATCGATTTAAATATTTCGACGCAAATTTTTTTTTTGATTTAAATATAATTCTGGGGGCTCTTTAGCTCGAGATTCGAGCAAATTTGGAATTTGATCTAATTGCGCATTGTCTTGTGATTTTTAAGCCGTGATTAGCGTTTAAATATATATTATCATACTACTATGCAAGAAATAGTTTGACCTCATAACTTAAATTACTTCTTCGATCCAAAAAATTAAAACTAAAATTACTTTGAAATCAAGTTTTGATGAAAACTTAAAATTGATTTTAGATGAATCCGTGCGCTATTTTCGTCATTTTATCACTTGAAAGCGAAAAAATAAGAAAAAGTGGTTAGTCAATTGTCTAACAGATAGAATAAGAAAAGGTAATTGTACCTTTTTAACGAGAAAACTATTTATCTGCATTTGAAAATTCTTAACGGTCACCGCTGGCTCAATCTGATGTAAATAACGCGCATCTGGTCCATGTTCACTGTGGAAGTCATATCTGCTCTTTCCTTGTGAGTAGTCAACATGGTGATTCTATTAAGGATTGAAAATAGTGGCAGTTTTTTTTTTATATATAATCCATCGAATGAAATTTATTTTCATAATAGAAAATTCGGGTTTTTCCATACTAAACGAAAACACAAAAATGTTATTTTTAGTTTGGATTTCAATTACAATTCCCCTCCATTTCATTAAGGCTATACATTTCTCAAGTGCTTTCATTTGCAAAGGGAAAATCAGAACAAGAAAGTTGAATAATTTTTACCAATCAAAAGTTTTAATAAATAAATAAATATACAAAGAAGCGAGTTTTACATTATTAATTAGCGAAATGATTGAAACCCATATGATTGCCAAATCCACTTTGCTGTAAAATCATAAAAGAAATCGCGTTGTCGGCCTTGAGTGTTCTCCCATCCATCTTGGCCAGGCCCGACACGAACATAAATGAGGGTGGAGGAGTCGAATAAGACTTTGATGTCTTTTTTGGTAAAAATTTATTTTGCCAACCAGTTACATCAAGCATAATATCGAAAAATAAAATATGAAAAATCAAAAACACACAAAAACTTTTATCCTTTGGATAATTTTGGTACAAATTATTAGGGGTGATCGGTTCTTAATCCAATCCGATCCAACCCACGAATTGGGAACAGGATCGGGAGGACTGGTTCCCAGTTTTTAGGACTGGGGACCGAACTAATGTCCAGTTCGATTCTAGTGGGACCAATCACTTATTGGTAAATGTGAGAGAGAATTGAGGAAATTAGATTAGGCTTTCTATTTTTTTTCAAAAATTTTAAAAAATAAATAAATAAATATATAATTTAGAAAAATATATATTTATCGGTTTGGTCCAGTTCCCGCCCTACAACCGGGAACCGGATTGCCCGAAAACCAGTTTCTCTTTTAGGAACCAGAAATCGGATCGATATTCCCAAGAACCAAACCAAATTGGTCAGTTCGGTCAGGTTTCAGTTCGGGCGGTCCACGTTGCTCACCCCTACAAATTATCAATTATTTCAATGAAGGGCTTATGCTTATATCGATTGGTCGATTTTGGCACGAACTTTTGAGCCTCTTATAAAATACGTGTGTAGAATGTGGCAACTCTTTGCTTGATTAGAGGAAATTTCCACCAACAGCACCTCTAGTTAGTGGATTACCTATGAACATCACCAACTTGCAAACTCAAGTAAAATTGAAGGTGATTGATATTCATATTCATAACTCACTTATCAAAAGAACGATAGGAGGACGACATGGCCCCTACTATACTACTAATGGAGATATTTGGCTTCCATCGGCTTTGTTGTCTATAAAATCGTCCCTGATCAGACAATTCGTCTATGTGCATAGCATTGATTATGAAAAATATTGTCATTTTGATCAGACTCTGCAATGGCATCAACCGGAAGCAATAGCAATCGTGGCTGAATAAATTTTTCTTTTTGGATAATTTAAAAGGATAGTTCGTGTGATAATCATATTCATACCTGTCTATACTCGAATTACCATATTTACACATTCTCTTCCGTGCCACCTTTAAGATCTCAAATTCGCGCGCCTTTCGATAGTTCACTCCGTATGATGTAGAACATGCGATTATCCCGTCCGATGCCGACGTCTTATTATTCCGAGGCATGAGATCCAGGGAAGGAAAAAAAAAACCCGACCGGTTAATTAGGTAGCTTATCCCCCTACTTGTCTTTTGAAATTGCTTTGTTCTAAAGCTCGTATATTGTCGCAAACTTTTACTTGAATGAGTATAAGATATAATGTTTGCTGACCAAAAAAAAAAAAGAAAGCTTTGATGGCGCCATCTGAGCTGGCGCATCAAAAGCAAAGATTGGAGGGCATTTCGCCTTTCGCTGCTGCTGGTGCAGGTGGCGTACAGCTGCACATGCCTCCGCCAAATTACCCAAATACCCCTCCCTCCAGCCCTTTATTACCACCCCCAACCTACTTCCCCGCATGGCCAACTCAGATGAGTATCATTTCCCCGACCCCAGAATCAGTCGAACCCGGATCCATCGCCGTAATTCGGGGCTACTCGGTGGACCGTTGGCGACGGTCCGATCTGCTGAATCTGGATTCAAGTAAGTTTTAAGTAGAAAGAGATATAATTAACTTTTATCAAGTACACCCAACTCGTGTGAGTACGTACGAGTTACCCGACACAAAACTTCTTAAGCTGTTCAAAATTCGGGAGTGTCGGAGTTTAGAACGACGGCATTTGATCGGTGTTTTTCTCACTTATAAAAGTACCGTGAGAAATTTTTTTGTTTGGGAAGGTAGAAAATACCAATAAATTTTTTATTAATGATTTCATATGGGTGATAGACGATTGTCATGTTCTAATAAAGCACTAAAGTTAAATGGTTTTTAGACTTTTGCAAAACGTTTCAATTGGATTTTTAGGCTGCGCATGACAACCATTCTGTGCCTTGGAACAGATTCTGGTGAGAAATGATTCTTTTTTATTCTGTGCCCGGAAACTGATTCTGAACATTTGAAGGCGTTTGGTAATGGCCTAAAATTTCTATTCCTGAAATAGTAAAAGAGCAGAAATGCGTTTGATAACGGCATAAAATTTCTTTTTATTAATAATATTTTAATAATATTTTAAATATTTTAATATTTCTTTCTTTTCTTTTTTTCTTCTCCTCCTTCTTGGCCATGGCCGGTAAAATATTTTTTATTTAATAATACTTTTATTGAAATATTTTTTTCTTTTTTTTTCACCATAGCCTGGTCGCTGGCCATAGCCGGTAAAATATTTTTTTCATAAATATTTTTTTATTAATAATATTTCAATAAAAAATATTTTTATTGAAATTATTATTTTTTATTTTTTTGCCATGGCCTGGTCGCTGGCCATGGCTGGTAAAATATTTTTTTATTAATAATATTTTAATATGAAAATATTTTTTTTATTTTTTTCGCCATGGCCTGGTTGCTGGCCATGGCCGGTAATTTTTTTTTATTAATAATATTTTTTTTATTTTTTTCGCCATGGCCTGGTTGCTGGCCATGGCCGGTAATTTTTTTTTATTAATAATATTTTTTTTTATTTTTTTCGCCATGGCCTGGTTGCTGGCCATGGCCGGTAATTTTTTTTTATTAATAATATTTTTTTTTATTTTTTTCGCCATGGCCTAGTTGCTGGCCATGGCCGGTAATTTTTTTTTATTAATAATATTTTTTATTTTTTTTGCCATGGCCTGGTTGCTGGCCATGGCCCGTAAAATTTTTTTATTAATAATATTTTTTTTATTAAAATATTTTAATCTCACCAGATATGGCGAGGGTGGCCCTCGCGCCGGACATTAGAAGCTATATTAAAAATCAACAAAAAGAAGAAGAAAAAAAAACTGATTCTCATTTTTGTTCCCAGAATTAAGAAGCTACTTTTTTTTTATTTTTGATTCTGCTCCAAAACTGATTCTGGGCACAAATTTGCAAAATTTGTGCCCAGAATCAAAAAATTAAACAAACGGATTTCTATTCTCAAACTGATTTTGGGAATAAAAGAACAGAATCAAACACTATTTGGCAAATTGCCATGCGCAGCCTTAATTTTTTTTTCTTTGGAGTCCTTGTATTATACTTATTTTCCAAAGAAATAAACAAAAAGGAAACGTGGCCATTATATTTTCCACCAAGTTGCTATGCAGGAGGAGTCACGAGTGGTACCTTAAAAAGTATAAATTATATATATTTTTAAAAAATATTTTTGGGAGGCGTGGAGGGAAAAACCCAAGGCAAGGCTCGGATGGGGGTTGGGAAATTGTGAAGTCAGCACAAGTGGCAGTTCACATTCGCAATAGGTTTATGCCGAGAAACGACGCGAAAAAAAGAGATACTCCGAAGAATCGAATTAGACAAAATAAAAAGTCGGAGATTTGATTTTAATACTTTGCAAAAAGTTCAATAATGAATAGTGTCTCTATTACTTAAAATATGATATGTATCGGCTATAGAGTCTATGTGAGGCAATCAGTGAATTATAATTATAATATTTTAAATTTTTAGGATTAGTACCACGAAATTTGAGATTTTTCATGACATTAACCTAACCATTTGAATTTTCTCGATTATAATGAACTCAATTTCTTCGAGCCGCATTTTTCTCTTCATTTTTCCCACGGCGGTCCTAATCAGCAATTTACCCCCGCGAGGGACGGCGACCGCTCGCCCCAAACTAACCCCCGGACCGACCGTTCGTTCGGCCCCCAACGGTCACTTCTGCTTTGAAATCCGAAACGGGCACACAACACCAAGGCGGCGGTCACCGACCTCGGCCGGAGGACAGAACCGTAATTCCGCACCCAGAACGAGGCGATCCCCCCCTCCCCGTCATTCCTCCGTCCGCGCGAGGGCAGTACCGTCATATCGCCCCCTCCCTCCTCCGTCCATCGCGAAGGAGGAGAAGCTGAGAAAAACACCAGACAGTGGAGGAGAGAGAGTGAGAGAGAGCAAGCAACTTTCTAGAGAGAGAGAGAGACAGAGAGAGAGAGAAAGAGAGAATTTCGGATTTTGAAGCTTCGTTCTCCGAGTTGTCGAGCCGAGTCATGGCCGAGTCGAGCGACTCAGTGTCCGTCGACGTCGACGCCGTACCTTTCGAGGGGAAGGTTAGGTGGAAGCTCAAGCTCGAGCAGCCCGAGTTCCCGTCCATTAGTGAAGAAGCAGCTTCGAGCTCCGGGCATTGTGTTCGCTGTGATTAGTTAACTTTTTTTTCTTTTTTTTTTTGTTGGGATTTCAGGAGCATGCGGTGAAGACGAGCAAAGGATCGGTCTCCGTGTTCGTGTGTGGCGATCAGGAGAAGCCTGCTCTGATAACGTACCCCGACGTCGCTCTTAACTGTATGTTTTTGCGCATTGTGGGCGGCTTTGAGCTGTTTGTTGCTTATTGGCTCTTAATGCACGGAATTAAGTAAAGACCCAGATAGAGTCCGTTGGTTTCATTGGCGGAATCTGCGTTCGGTTTGAACTCCTTAATCCCATTTGTTGTTGTGGGTTCTTACCCCTGTGCCCAGAATTTGATTCCCATTGTAGATAGTATTAGTTCGAGTTGGGTTTTGTCGACCCGACTCGATGGGCGGGGCTTTAATCGTTGTCGTAAAAGACATATTACCCTTTGTGCGATGAGGGGTTTTGGTGTGAAATTTGATTGACTCGATTTATAGGAACAATTCTTTCTAGCCGTTCAGTTTGAATTCCTTAATCCCATTGTTGTTGTGGGTTCTTACCCTGTGCCCAGAATTTGATTCCCATTGTGAATTGTATTAGTTCGAGTTGCGTTTTGTCGACCCGACTCGATGGGCGGGGCTAATCGTTGTCGAAAAGACAAAATTACCTTTGTGTGATGAGGGGTTTTAGTGTGAACTATGATCGACTCGATTTATCGGAGCAATTCTTTCTAGCCGTTGATCGATGTGGAGAGTAATGCAGTTTCTGATCTGCCGTGTCATGTGCAGATGCATCGTGTTTCCAAGGTCTGTTCTGTTGCCCGGATGCTGCTTCTCTGCTGTTGCATAACTTCTGCATTTACCACATCGATGCTCCTGGGCATGAGGTTAGTGTTGTTATCGCATATGTGCAAGTATGGTCCCGTGTGTGTGTTTCTATGATTCGCGTTGAGTTTCTGTACGCTTGCTGGTGGTTCTAATAGAGTCTCTGTCGGCCATTGCCATTGGATGAAGAGGTATTGCAGTTGGGTGCTGATGTGATTTCTTCGGACATTCCAATTCTCAGTGTCGACGACCTCGCAGACCAGGTCGTTGAAGTGCTTGACTTCTTTGGGTACGATGACATTTGAATTTCTCTTAGCTTTTTACTTACTCTCCTTATGCATGTATGAGAGCGGATGGATAGTGGACATGCTGATTTCCTCTAAGTCAAAACCTACCCATAAGATTGCATGATAAGATTCTTCCTATGGATAGCTATTCCATACCTATACTTGCTTGAAAAAGATGATGTTTTCGACTTTATCCTTATATGATGTCATTATTTAACATTGTTTAGTTGCTGGCTGGACCCCGAGCATGTCTAAGTTCAATTAGGTCGAAAGTCAACAGCATGATTTCTGTCAAGTTTCCTCGAAAAGTAGCTTAATATTAGATTCTGAAATTGGTTTGTGTAAAGGAACTTTTCGACCTCTCTACTACCATTTGAAATTTCTATTTTGCTCGACTCTGAGTTTTATTTCAGGCTGAAGGAAGTTCTGTGCTTAGGTGTAACGGCCGGTGCTTACATCCTGACTCTTTTTGCGGTAAGTAGTAACATACCACAGCCACTTTTCTGTCTTGTTTTTGTTCCTCCCATAGGTTATTGGTACATTAATATTATTATCTCCTGGACTTGCCAGGTCAAGTATAAAGAGAGGGTTCTTGGTCTGATTCTTGTTTCGCCAATTTGCAAGGCACCTTCGTGGACTGAATGGCTTTATAACAAGGTTTCAGCCTCAATCACCAAGTCTTTTGCGTCTGAATGATATAATATACACTGTCACTGCAGTTAGGATGAACATTAAAAGATTATTACCGGAAGTTTTGAACAAAAGAGGTTTTTGTATCCAACAATTTGTAATATAATCTAGGACTTTTTATCTTATTTGTCCATTGTGCAGATCTAGTTCTATATATTCCAATCTGTTAGGTGGATTATTATTTAATTCTTCATATGCTACTTGGAAAAGAAGTAGCTGTCAAATGTCAGTTCGTCCTTTTCACGGAGCAATCGCGTTTGTTCCCTGAAAAAGTAATTGACAAGCAACTCTTATCACATCCTCTGCGGTGGCTGCGTTGGAAATAATTTACTCTTCCGCCGAAAGAAATTGGGGCTTTGAAAGAGTTATTGAAGACGTTATTTTTTTGTAGGTATTGCTGAACCTCTTGTACTTCTATGGCATGTGTGGTTTATTGAAGGAGTTTCTTCTTCAGCGGTACTTTAGTAAGGTATTTTTACACATTGTTAGTGTGTGAAGCAATGGATAGCTGCCCTGCTATTCTTTTCAACCATTTAAGTAATTTTACAATACTCAAATAGGAAATTCGCTGCAGCATGCACGGTTCAGAATCTGATGTAGTTCAAACATGTCGGAAGGTATGTAGTCTCCAGCCAGATGCTTGTTCTTGGGAACTGATCAGTCCATCTCTGTCCTTGTTGCAAAATTACCTTTTCTGCCAATTTGTTGATTAATAAAATTCATACTTATGAAAACGAAATCCTGAGATAGATCAGATTTTGCATTATCACAGTTTGAGTTTTGAATCTGGGTATGTGGCAAAGGATATTGAAGAATTTGTTGGAATGAAGCTAAATGCCTGCAAAGTTTGTTGTGCAGCCATCCTTATTCTCCAGACCCTTATGTGAATCTCCGGGTGTAGGTTTTGTTTCTTGAGTGGATCCCGTGGGAGTTGTAACTCGGACTTGTAACAGGCTTAGTCCCCATGTGTTCAGTTTGTTGATGAATACAGATCTTATTTATCGAAAGCATGAAGTTCTTTTGGGATTAGGAACTCATTATTGTCAGCTTATTTTAAAGCGGGATTTATTTGGCTGACTCTCAGTTTATATTGGGTTGTCATTTCAATGCTTAGATATTGATGCACGACTGAGATGTGCTCAATCTTATCATGTGCCTGCAGTTGCTGGATGAAAGACAAAGTTTGAATGTCATGCGCTTTCTTGAGGCCATGAATAGGTAAGTGGCGGAATAGTAAACCAGTGGTCAATGCATCTAAACATGATCTATATAGGACTACTGTATTTTTGAGTTTCAAGTAGCTGTACTTATAGTGCATGTGACCAAAATTAAATGCACTTTATATTAGAAGTTTCTTGTCAAACTGGTAGCTTATGACAATGTCATTGTTTGAATCAGATCCTGTGTTTAGACGTAGAACTGGTGATTGATCTAGAATCTCTAATGACACGAAACTGCCTAGAACAAATCATTAGGACTATATAACGCGTTGCTTCTAATCATGATGGTTAATCTTCTTGTTATGATAATATTTGCTTCTTTGGCAATCTGTATCTTTGAGTTTGCACCTTGTCTGTTGACCCAAAGCACCGTATAGTGCATAATCTGGATAAATGCTTGAAGACACAGGACAATGTGAAATGAAAGATGAGCTATAACCTAGTCGCCATGTTCAGCAATCAGACTCAATTTACATTCCCCATCTTTGTCCCCATGCTATGAGTTATAACAAGCCTGCTGTCTGGATAACTTAGGCAGATTGATCGATCTGTGGTTGCAATGTATCTTTGTAAATGTGGAGTTGTGATTGCATGGAGCATTTCTAGATCAAGAAAATATTCTTTTTCAGTGAGACCCATCATCTCTGATCCCCATGTTTGTTTTCAGGAGGCATGATCTAACAGACAGCCTGAAGAATTTGCACTGCAAGACGCTCATCTTTGTGGGTCAGAGCAGTCCATTCCATGCTGAATCAATGTACATGAGTGCCAAAATGGACAGGAAAGTCTGTGCTCTTGTTGAGGTAGTCTTCTCTCGTCATTGCTTCTTTAATATTCTCTTTGTTGTTTTTTTTTGCTAAATAATATTCTCTTTGTTGTTATCAAAGGTTAACTGTGGACTTTTAGATATGTTCAAAGGTTTTAGAAAGTTGGAAAGTGATCATACCATGTCTTAATGAAGCACAAAAGTGAGACCAGCTGAGAGGAGCTGACTCGGAACTCTTGGCCTTATTCTTCTGATGCTTGGATCATCTTTCTTTATACTAGTGGTTGATTTTTTAGCTTACTTTGTTTTTAGCCCAGCCGGTTTAATGAGTTTCGTCCTCTTACGTAAGCAGGAACCAAAAGATATGAACTTGTGTTTAATTGTATTTTCCTTTTGCTCACCAACTCGCTCTGAAGATTGTCATTTCATTTGGCAGGTTCAGGCTTGTGGTTCCTTGGTGACAGAAGAGCATCCATATGCAATGTTGATCCCGATCGAGGTCTTTCTTATGGGACTCGGCCACTATAGACCACCACATTTTGTATGTTCTCTGAAGAATGAATCAAGTCCCACTAGCCCCTCAAGCCGTTCTTGCATAGTGCCGGAGCTTTTGTCACCTGAGAGTCTGGGGATAAAGCTCAAGCCGATCAAGACGCGTGTAGCTAGCGAGGTCTGATGGAAAGGAAGAAAGGAAAAGGAAGACGATGCCATTGAAGCATTGCTCGGAGTGGCTCACACGTGCCAGAATTGGCAGTTCACAGGAAGATTGTAGCTTAGCTTTCTAGCTATTTGTTGCCGCATCTCTCGGTGCTTACGTACCTCGGGGGATGATTATTCTTTCATTTTGTCCATACTCGGTGAAAAATTGTTACAACCATTCTTCAACATCCCATGTATATATAGAAATAGCTGTATTTGTAGCACGCCAACATTCTTTTAGGAGTTGAATTTGTGTACTGACAGTGACAGACAAACCTCTTGTACACTTCCACGTTTAAGGATCATTGTTTATGCAGTATGTTCAAAGGATTCTTTCTTCATATGAAATATTAACCCGTGAAGTTTTTTCTTTGCACAAGCGGCCTTGAGTTGGAACCATATGTTGGTTCCCCTTCAAGTGTTTATTATGTGCATGCCTTCTTAGATTCCGATCCCGCTTTTGTAGAGAAAGAAAACTCCGTTGGTGTACAGTAATAGAATCCAAGTTCGAGCGCTTCTTGTACGATTCAATGTGTCTAATCTCACATACTGGCCTCTAATATGCCGTCTGAGGTGTACTTCTTTTGGGATTTGGCACGTGTATGTCAAGGTTAGATCGTTATAAGTGATTCAAGAACATGGCCGTGATGGTATGGCGGCAATCTAATCGGCTTGATAGACCAGTGACTCGAGACTAAGATAGCTGGTATGGGTGGTCGTGTCGCCTCGAACCTAGCTCGCGTCATACATAGAGAATACTATGAAGTGATACTACAAGCAAAACATTATAATTAGGTCCACTGTCAATGTTGCAAATTACACATTTACTGTTGAATGGGTGACATGCGTATTTAAACTTAATTGTATAATCGAATTCTTCCATATGTCAATGATTTTGGACTTGATGCATAATGGGTTTTATCTACGTTATGCCTTATCAAAAGCCATCAACAATTTATCCTTTATTAGCTGCTGGAGCCATAAGTGTCATATGGTGATAAATTTCCACTTGTTTAACTACTAAAGGGCATTAAAAAAAAACTACTAAAGGGCATTGCACAAGGTCAAATAGGCAAAATACTTAAAGTGCTCATCCTTAAAAGCTACAATAATAAGTAGACTGGAGTCTGAGTCACGTTAAAACCCGTTCACAAATACCCCACATTTATTCACATACTAAATTTCTAAATCACAATTAATTTCATTATATTTGTTATTACTTTTTTTCAAGATTCTAAGACTCGTAGGGTTCATCAAATTTATATGATCTGTAAATTAGATATTACAAGTATTGATTACCATTAAACAGCTATTGCTTGTTAGTTTGATGATGATGGTATATCTGGTTAAAGATTTTCTATTTATATGATGAAAAAAATTTATGAAATGTTCCCTAATATGCCAAGATGTCATAGCTTCAATTACCATCTCCTCTCTTCCAAGTTCGACCCTTAATTTATCATGTCGCGACGAAAAAAAAAATGCAATCCTTACTAAAAATGCGATTTTTATGAACCACGAAAACATCTACTCAAGAAATTTGTGGTAGAGATACAAATAAAGAGCAAAAATTAGATCACACCTATATAGTTCCTTCAAAACCTTAATTTTGATAGACCATGAGAACACGCATTGAAGCGCAACTTTTCTTTCCTCATCCTCAAATATCCCCCATTGATAAGATTAATAATATTGGTGAACCATCGGAAGGTGTAGAAGAAGAGAAATGTCCAGATTTAAAGAAGTTATCAGCAATTCAAGAAGAGGCTGAGGTATAGAATACATTGTGTAATCGTTTTACTCAGAGATCTGTGGTCAAAGAATTCGAATTAAGGGGTAAGCTTCAATCCTGTCAAAAGCGTAATAGGCCCTTAACCGAGTATTTGCGTGAGTTCAAATTGATTTGTGACCAGTTAAACGCGATCGGAAAACCGGTCGATGAAATCACAAAGGTCTTCGGTGTTTTAGAGGGTCTCGGAAGTGACTAGGAGACGTTTAAGACAACTATGTATTCTCTTAAACCAGAGCTGGGCTACGAAGACGTTATTGCTCAGCTCAAGAGATATCAAGTGCGACATCATAATTATTTGTTGAATCAAATAAACCCTACTTTGGCATTTACTGGTGAAAAGATTGATTAGTCTAAACTGAGCAGTGAGGATGATTCGAGTTCATTTGATTCAACATTTGTTTTTGCTGGCCAAAAAAATTTTAACAGAGGTTTTGTAGGAATGGCAGGTTTGACAATAGGGGAAGAGGCTCTGGATTTCGTGGAAGGAGGTTCGGAAATTATCCCAGATTCCAAAACTATGGACTCTCGGGAACTTTTGGTGATTCATCTGGTGGTTATCAATATGGTGGAAATTACAAACCAAATTCACCTTCTCAGAATCAAGGCTCCCGACCTTATACAAACACTCCGACTAAGGTTGCTGATTCAAACGCCTGTGGATGGTAATTCTGCTTCGGACAGACAGTTTTGTGTGGACAATATGAAGCTTGAATGTCAGATATGCAAGAGGCTGGGACATGACGCTCTACGTTGCTAGTACCGCTTTGATAATTCTTATCAAAGCGAGCTGATACCAAATGCCTTAACTGCTCTTCACTTGGAGGATGATCACGGAGGAGATTGGTTCCCGGATTCTAGGGCAACAGCCCATATCACATCATTGACTGGTAACCTCAATTCTTTCTCTCCTTACTACGGTTCAGATACGGTAATGGTGGGGAATGGAGTTTGTTTGCCCATTACATATATTGGCTCAACATCTTTATCTAGTAAACTGCATTCATTTCCTTTAAATGAAGTTTTGGTTGTCCCATAGATTAAGAAAAACTTGATTTCAGTGTCTAAGTTGACTGACAATTACCCTTGCTCACTAATCTTTGATGAACTTGGTGTATCTATTAAGGACCATATGACAGATTCGGTAATCAATCTGGAAAAGAAATATGGGGGTCTTTACAAGGTAAATCAAGCACAAACAGAGGCGTGGTACTCTCAAAGACAATGGACCGCTAGTAGTGAAGTCTAACACCTTTGGCTTGGGCACTCAAACTTTCAAATAATAAAGTTTATGGAGAACGACAATAAGATCAAATCTACAAAGGTGACAAAGAGAATATGTGGAAGCTGCCAGGTTGGAAAAAGTAGTAAGCTGCCCTTCAATATCTCGGAATCCCTAGCTAGTAAACCACTTGAAAAAATCTATTGTGATGTGCGGGGGCCTGCCCCGGTAGAATCTTTTCAACGGTTTAAATTCTATGTAGTCTTCATAGACAGTTTTTCACGGTTCTCGTGGGTGTATCCAATGAAGAGAAAGTCTGAGGTCTTTTTCATCTTTGTCATGTTCCAAAATCTTGTTGAGAACCAATTTGAAAGTGGAATTAAATCTTTCCAATGCGACGGTGGAGGGGAATTCAATAGCAGACAGTTTGTTAATCATTTGAATGAGAAAGGAATTAAAATGTTGGTCTCCTGCCCATATACGCCATAATAGAATGCAAATGCTAAAAGGAAACATCGGCACATCGTTGAGTTGGGTCTTTCTATGCTCTACCATGCACGAGTACCGTTGATTTATTGGGTCGATGCGCTTCTGACTACCACATTTCTCATCAATTTGCTGCCATCACCAGTGTTGGGAATGAGTAGTCTGTTTGGTAAGCTCTTTGGTAAAGAGCTTGACTATGGGTTTCTTCGAGTCTTCGAGTGTAGTGCTATCCTCACCTTAGACCGTATGGTGCAACAAAGTTCGATCCACGCTCATTACCCTGTGTTTTTCTTGGGTACAGTCAGAGAGATAAAGGTTATCGATGTCTTTATCCGCCTACAGGAAGGGTGTATGTAAGTCGTCACATGATATTTGATGAGACGAGATTCCCATTTTCTGATAAATTGGGAACTGTTTTTCCTGGGTATTCACAGTTGTATCGAACTTGGTTACAAGGGGTGGAATTCTTTACTAGACAATCTGAAACAACAGTGAGTGAAGGGCAAACATCACGACACACGAGCATGGGATTTCTATTTGATGATAACAACTCTGGACAATAAAATTATGAGCTGCCTAATAAGACAAATGTGCAACAATCACAGTTGAGTTCACAAGAACCATGCACAGACTGTGAAACACATGAAGAAGCAATAGCTCTGCCTCAAGTGATTTACCAGTTCCATCCACTCAACAACAATCTACTCACCCAATGCAAACAAGGTTGAAATCGGGAATAAGGAAGCCCAATCTAAAGTATGTTCTCTCTATAGCCCGTGAGATCCCAAAAGAGCCGAAAATAGTTAAAGGAGCACTAAGTCACCCGGGTTGGAGGAAAGCTATGATAGAAGAATTGGAGGCTCTTGAATTAAATCAAACATGGGAGCTAGTACCAAGATCTTCATAAATGAATATCGTCGGATGTAAGCGGAAGGAAACCCTGATAAACTGAAAGCACGATTAGTGGCGAAAGAGTACCATCAAGAGGAAGGCATTGATTTCGCCGAAACTTTCAGTCCTGTGGTTAAACCGGCAACCGTGAGAATTATCCTCTCCGTGGCAATTGTTAAAGGATGGTTTATCCATCAACTGGATGTGAAGAACGCATTTCTTCACAGGTCATTGAATGAGACGGTATTTATGGAACAACTACCGGGTTTTGTGAGTTCTACGATGCCTAACTCGATTTGTTTACTCAAGAAGACATTATATGGTTTAAAACAAGCTTCGCAAGCTTGGTTTGAAAAATTCAGCAACTTTTTTCTAGAACGGAGATTTCATTGTAGCTCTACCGATCCGTCGTTGTTTGTTCTTCACATGGGTCAGCACACCTTGGTATTATTATTATACGTCGATGGCATTATTTTGACGGGCAGCTCATCATCTCTACTTCGGGAATTAATAGAAGCTTTAAGCAGAAATTTTTCTATGAAAGATCTCGGACAACTTCACTATTTTCTCGGCATTGAAGCCAAGTTTACGGGTTCGGACCTATTTCTAACACAATCTAAATATGCTGGTGATTTGTTGCAGAAAGCATAAATGCAAGACAGTAAGGCGATTGAGACCCCATTGCCTATCAAAACTCATCCAACGGTACAAGACATGGAACCTTTTCATGATCCTCACTCCTTTCGAAGTTTTGCGGGTGGATTACAATATCTAACGATCACAAGAACGGACATCTCTTATTCAGTAAATCAAATCTGTCAGAAAATGCATTCTCCTACGAACGGCGATTTCAAACTGTTAAAACGGGTGTTGTGGTATGTGAAAGGAACTCAGCAACTAGGGCTTTATCTTCACTCTAATAGCACACTGA